CCCCAAAACCCCAAAACCCCAAAACCCCACTTTGAAGAATAAATATTGAATTATACATATTATGGACAAAGAAAGTTTCGGAAGGTACTTAAACTACATGTACACCCACTGGTGCATTGAAGGATAGTAGACAAATAGCATCACCAGGCTTTATATATGGGTTTAGTATTAGTCTCTGGGAGAACAAAAGCTTTATGATTAAAATTTATGTTCCCTTTAGTTATCAACCAAACGAAGATGATCGAAAAGCTGCTATCCAAAATTTGGGCGTTCCTAAGTTTCTTGTGAACAAATGGTTAAATGTCAAGAATACAAGGTCACACTTTAGACAGTCTCATTGCCAGATTGATAACAAGGATGACGTCTCTATATACTCAGGGTCAAGTTTTTCAATTGTATCACCAATTAAAATGAGCAAATAAATCATTTATTTCCAATAAGATTAACAATAAGGCCTCTACTTCAATGAGAAAAAGCGAGGTATGAGTTGATTTCTCCTCTAAAATTGGCCAAGAACCATGCGGAAATGTTCCTAAAGTAAAGAGCAAATTTTCTCAAAGTGGTATCAAATAATACTTCCGAATTTCCCAAAGATCTTTTGTCTCCAAATGATGAGAAGGAAATCAAGCTTGGCGATGAGTCACAAAAGAGTGAGAAGAAGCATGTAAATCCTTACCCAAAATGTCTTGAATCTTCAATTAGCAACCCAATATTCGAACTTCACAAGTCTGATGATGACAGTTCTGTTTCAGGTCATGATTCCAAAGAAGATTGCGAATTGGAACATAAAGAAGAAAAACATACAGAGAAGGTACTTTAAATAAAATTTTAACTCTAAAAGCCAGATCTAATATATTTAGCCTCAAATAAATATTTTAAAGGACGAATCAGAGGCAGTTCTTAACAATAAGAAAGTATCCGTTTTGCCAACGTCTCAGGGTATCCAACCTTTATCAATCAGGAAAGATAATAGGCACTGAAAATAAGGCTGTTTCCACTATAATAGGTAAGCCTCAAAACTTTGCTAGCTTAATTGTTCCTGCATGGATTTTCTAGGATGCTAAGTTCTTTTAATATCATAATTATAGAATTTTCAAGGATTGTACCAAAGAAGAAGGGTATACAGCAAAATTCTAGAAACTGAACCATGGATCAGCTATTTATCACTAACAAAAAGAGAGACTTACTCAGCGATGAGAGGATATACCAAATCCCTAACTTTTTCTTACCCTCAAGCCCTGCTTTGAGAAATATTAACAGTAATAGTTTGAAGAAGGATCGGAATCGAGCTCCTATACATCTAAAAAATTCTCACGTTAAAGGAGCGATATTCCGGAGAAATCGATCAAGGAATGACCAGGATAGCCAAAATAAGCCTCAAAACAATAATTTAAATAAATTCCAAAACACCTTCAATACCCTAGACCTCAAGAATTACATCACAAAGCAGAAGGATCTACTGAATACTAATAAGAATGTAAGCTTGCTGCTGAGGCTAAGACAGAGACTTATCCCTCTCAATATATTTCTGCAGTTTTCCCCCAGTACTGCTTTCCTCTATTCGGAAGGTTCTGAAATAAAATAATACTACATATTTTTAATTTACAAATATTCGGAATTCTAATATTTATGTCTAGACCTGCAGAGATAGATGAATCCAGAAAGTGAATTTCCTAATCTGAGATATAGAACAATTTCAGCTTTGAGCGGGATGACACTCAATTCAATAGAAAACTGTTGACAGTAATTTTATGTATGATTTTAAAGACTTTTGATGGTAGAGAGACCTCTGCTCAGAAAAGACTAAAGGCTCTCAGTTTGTTAAAGGAGACGTCGGATTTTAGATCACGCTTAGATCCTAAGTAACTTTGGAGCTAACTGCTTGTAGGTATATGATTCCTCTACCTCAGATTAGGAAGGGTAGGAATTACAACTTGGATCAGTGTCCTTCAATATGTTTAAATTCTTTGAAGTGTTACGTTAATAGTAAAATTAATGGGCAATTTCAAATTTTAGAGAGAAAAATCAGGGCTTTGAGTAAGACCCGATATACCCCCATTCGTCAACAGATAGGTAAAGCACTGCATATAGTCTATAGGCTTGAGATCCCCTCGAAACACTCCTGGAGAGGTTTTAACTGTTAAACAAATGGCAATAAAAGGGTCTCAAATCACTTTTAAAGAGCTCGGTTAGTTTTTCATAAAAAGTTTTCCTAAATTCAATCTTTTGCTGGTTATAAGGGGTTTTGGGGTTTTGGGGTTTTGGGG